CACACACACACACACACACACACACACACACACACACACACACACACACACACACACACACACACACACACACACACACACACACACACTATCTTGCTCACCGATTGGTTAGTGTTTAATGGACGGTGTAGTAGCTGGCTTTCTGTCTGAAGCCAGTTAGACGTTGTGGAGGGTGGCAGGAAAATCGCTGACGATGGCTCACTGAAATTCATGTTCTGTGGAAAGCAGCAGTCAGGAACTGATTTTACATGCGTGTGTGTGTGTGTGCATTATATTAAGGTGCATATGTTTCACATTCCTTGTAAGTGAAAACATATCTGGCAATAAATCTCATTCTGATGAATGAAAGTGTGTACCTTATTGGATTGATTTCAGTGCGTGTATGTGTTTGTGTGTGTGTGTGTGTGTGTGTGTGTGTACATCTTTGAAGTTGGTATTGGAACCAGAAAAAGGCTCACATATTTCAACACACACACACGCACACAGCATGAGCATCTCTGCTTCTCCATGAGTGCTGGATCGTCTCCTGTGGCGTACAATATTGGCTTATATACACAGTAAATTGGTGCACATACATACAAAATGTGAAAGGGAATATACAATAAGTGAATACAGAGACCCGGAGAGACAAATAGCCCGAGTCTCGTCCAGCATGACCGCTGCAGAACCCACAAAGCTCTCCGGGATCGGCCCATTGGTTCTCCGCGAGTCACGCAGTTTCCAAGGTACATTTGGTTTCTACCGCCAGTACCAGCGCCAAGGCCCAACAGTACCGCTCTCTCACACTATAGCTGGACGTCCACAGAAAGACGAATCCCCTGAACTGTGCGCACAAACCCGCACATACAGAAGAGGTACGGTTTGTATTCTGCAGGCGTCCGATCAAGATTTTTTGTTTTGTTTTTGGGTTTTCGTATGACTGATCATCACGGCGAGCGGTTTTGTTCGGGTCTGTTGTTTTTCCACTCTTGTATTGGACAAAGATGTGCGAGGGGTGTGAAACAGAACCCTGTGCCCGTGTGTGTGAAGCGGTTTGGATGTGGTTTTGGTTTGGTTCTGTTCCCTCGTTATTTCTTAATCCCGTATCAAGTGGATCGCCCCCCCCCCCCCCCCCCCGCTGTCGGTTTCACGTGGCAAAACAGAGGAACTGAGTTTAACTCTGAATACGTAAATACAGATCTGATGCTTCGACTCATGTCTCCCAAGTATGCGCACACGGCCGCTATAGGGTGGCATGGCTTGTTGCTCGGTTGCTAGGATGGTATAGCCTGGTTGCTAGGGTGGTACGGTCAGTTGCTGGGGTGGCATGGCCTGGTTGCTAGGGTGGTATAGTCAGTTGCTGGGGTGGCATGGCCTGGTTACTAGGGTGGTATAGTCAGTTGCTGGGGTGGCATGGCCTGGTTACTAGGGTGGTATGGCCTGTTGGGTGTCATGGCCGGTTGCTAGGGAACGGCTGTATTGGTGTATAAGTGGCTCTGGTTAGGTTTCTAAGGCGGGAAGGGAAACAGGACCAAAGACTATTACTGCTGTAATATACAGTCAGTCTCTCTCCCTGTATGTTCTCTGTCTGTTTAGTTTTCCTATTTCCGAGTGGATGTGTGGATATGTGTGTGTGTGTGTGTGTGTGTGTGTACAAGTGCAATGTGTGTGTGTGTGTGTGTGTACAAGTGCAATGTGTGTGTGTGTGCATGTGTACTGTGTGTGTTCAAGGGTATGTCATGTTTATGTTCTGTGTAATGTATTCAAGTGTATTCACATATACAATAATGTGTATGTGAGTTTGAGTGTTTGTTTGAAGTCGTTTATGGAGGAATTCTTTCATTTTCAAAAGTGTGTTTTCAGTTTGATGCTATACATTGTTTTTACAACCGGGCACTGATAATGGAAAATGGAGAGAGAGGGAAGAGATGAGAGAAAGAGAGAGAAGAGGGAGAAAGAGAGAGAGATGGAGAGAGATAGGAGAGAGAAAGAGGGAAGAGATGAGAGAAAGGGGGAGAAAGAGAGAGAGATAGGAGAGATAGGAGAGAGAGAGAGAGGGCAGAAGAGAAGAAGTGAGCACAGAGAGCGAGTGTAAGCGAGGGGGGAGGAAGGCTGACCTAGGTTTACCTCTCTTACTCATTCCAGAGTGTTTTGTTTGTTATTTTTCCTATGTGCAATAATGGTATTTCTCCATCCCTGCCAAAAACTAAAAAGATTGGTAAACAAACAACGTGAAATGAGTCAAATCCGATCCGGACCCAACACATCAACTGATAACTGAATATTCCCTGTTTTATGCAATGAAAACAATTCAGAATGAAAAAGTAATATCAGCAGTGTGAAAATGGTTGCATAAAACGTATGAGACAGTGAAAATGCAAATATCAACTAAGCAATAACAAGGAGTAGCCTACATACAAAATGCAAAGCTCAAATGGGATTTTCAGTCAGATAAGTAAAAAAAAAGGTTTTACGTATTGAACATTTCCATTTTCAGATCATTTTCATTAAATTTAAACTCATTATCGTATGTTTTGCTGTTGGTATTCATAGTTGTGCATCGGGGCGACTTAATTCTGATGTGGAGACGTGTAGTAGAGACTCTGTCATGTAGTTTCCCACTCAGCAGGACTTGTGTGGATGTTACCGTGGTAACGTCCTCTCTGATGATGTCACAGCTACTCACGATGTTGAATTTAAAATCCCGCGTTTTCCCCCACGATTACACGACAACAACGCGGAGAGCGTCACGGTGAAAATCTCTGTAGAAAACTGTGTCAGCATCACTGTGATGATGAGGATGCTGGAGGTGAAGGCTTCAGTCTGCCGCTGCATTAGGATGGAAGACACACACACACACACACACACACACTTTCACACACTCCTCTCCCCCGTCTCTCCCCTAGCGAGGTCACACAAAGTCTTCGCACTGTTGTGAATACAATGACACTCACAGTAGGCTAGATAACTCTCTTCTGAAGTCGATGTCTCCGTCCATCTCAGTCTCCTACCAGGGAAGTGTGTGTTGTGTATACGTGTGTGTGTGTGTGTGTGCGTATACGTGTGTGTATGTGTGTGTGTGCATGCGTGCGCGTGTGAGCGTTTTGCTCACTGAGAAAGGCACACAACTCTCATGAATCTCTAAACCTTTTTCCCACAACAATTACTTTATGTAAACTAAACACCGCTGCATCGTCGTTCCCTCTGCCGCACAAAAAAAAACAGCGTGAATGACTCGATTATCTTAATTCACTTCTTAATTCACTCTTCTTCTCTTTTTTTAATTCAGCCAAACTTCACCGTGAAAACTCAAAGAGTGGCGAGAGCAAGACTTAGCATCGTTTAGCATGCGTTTGCTTAGCATGTGTGTGTCGCTAAACGCCGGCGTCGCCGAAAGCATGCGTCTGTAAGCATGCGTCTGTAAGCACGCGTCTGTAAGCATGCGTCTGTAAGCACGCGTCTGTAAGCACGCGTCATGCTATATGCTAACGCCCCCATGCAGGATTATGAGGGTTTAGACACGCGGGCCACGAAGGTCACAACATCGCAACAAAACGGATCGCATTTCAGCGAGAGGAAGATTGGACTCGCGCACCAGGAAGTGCCGCGCGCAGCTTCCTGTAACCCTTTCAGCCAAGAGCGAAACAGTCACATGACTTATCTGCAAAAAAAAAGTCGCGCTCTTGTCGTCGATAACGACGTTGATTTCCTGTGTTACACGATATATATGACCTAAAAGCAATCTTTATTTCGTTTTTTACATATTTTATTTAACAGTTAAATTCCCAGACTTCACCTTTTTCGGTGATTGCGAACACCGGCGACGCATCTATACGGAGATAAAACCGCAAGTTGCAACACAACGCAATGCATCACAAATGTACGTTTACGTGCGTAATCCCGGCCCTCTCTCCGCGATCCACCTCCTTTTTCAAGCTAAACGTCAAGAGCGGGGCGCTATCTGTATCTCTAAATCTCACTTAATCTACACACACACACACACACACACACACACTCACACACACCAAGGGGCCGGGAGTTCCCGCCTGTTTGCCCACCTGTAAATCCTGCCCCCAGAGACGCAGTATTCGGCCTGGTTTAACAGGCTGTATTTATGGGCTGTGAGAGTCAGTAGAAGTCCACAGGAATGCCACAGCATTGCAGCAGCGATGAATTACTGCCTATTCATTTAAACCCATACACATACACACACACACACACACACACACACACACACATGCAAAACATACACACACACACACGCATACACAAATTACGTTATACACTCTTAAGCATTCCCAACGTGCGGCTAACTGTTTGATTTACTGGCCCGTTCAGACTGGGTGTATTTAGGCGCTCTCGGCCGGCATCCCGCTCAGGTTACCATGGTTGCGTTTTTTTTTCTTTACAGGCCAATTTAGAGCCCCGTTAATGATTCAACATGTGCTTCACTTCAGGTTGCACCGAGAAACACTTTCTCCAATAATGTTAACTTATTTTCACTGTGAGCGATGGGGGGGGGTGATAATGTGCATTACTGCGGCTGGATGTACAGTTTTACAGTTTTATTCATGCCTCGGTCGGTACACTGGCACTAAAAAAGGGTTTTAAATAGACTAAATAAGGGCTTTTATTTTGAAGGCTGGTTCTCCCACCTGTTTTCTGTTAGGGAGGTGACTAATATGGCGTCACAGGTAAGGCTGGGTCAGCAAGACCAAGACGCCACATTTCTTTAAACCAATTAATCCTTGTGAACCTTTTTAACTCTAGATGATTATATATATATATATAGAATTGATGATGATGGATGAATTAATGCAAAGTTGAATATATGTTGTACGTTATAGATATAGAATTATAGTTTGATATATTCACAAAAGTGGAAGTAAACCAAAGCGATATTGGTTAAATGCACTCATCCGTACAAACTTCTAGGGATGTTTTTTAAATATAAATATATACCATCGGGTGAACACTCGTCCAATAAATCTCTCACAAGCGCACAACATTTTTAGCATGCT